TTTTTTAAATCTTAAACGTACTTAAGTATTGAAAGTAAAAGTACAAGTAAATGCAAAATGTAAAAGAAGCAAATAAATATATATAAAAAATGTTCATACACAGCTGGAGTAGCAAGACTGTGTTCCGTTTTAACTCTTTCTTCCAATTTGTATCTTTGAGTAAGAATAAGAAGCACTTCATCCGATACTCAGTCTCTGTCATTTCAACATAGGAAAACATTTCTGGAATCTGCATCTGAAATAGCATTTAGATGTATTTACACAGTCGAATGTAGGCTATCTCAGAGGGGACATGGATGCATTTAACCTGCAGTTACAGATGGATAAATAATGTTTTGTTTTTAACGAATCTGTTGAATCTCAATGACTCACTCATTAACAGTCACTTGCTGTCACATGGCGGTTTTAATTTCACATTTAGACAAATTTTTTTTTTCTTGTTTTAAATCATTTCAAATACCAGTATTTAGGGCTGCACGATAAATTGCATATGATTGTCATGCGCATCTCGTCAGTAAAGCCGGTTCTGTTGATTAGTAGTAAATCTCCATCACGTGCTTTCAGATGGAGCAGCATTTACTACACAGAGCCGTAGTTCACTGACAAGTTACGCAATATCGCGTTCATTATCACAGATGAATCGTCTGCATGTGATGGAGATTTACTACTAATCAACAGAACCGGCTTTACTGACGAGATGCGCATGACAATCACATGCAATTTATCGTGCAGCCCTAAATACTGATATTTGAAATGATTTAAAACAAGAAAAAAAAATAGTCTAAATGTGAAATTAAAACCGCCAGTAGGTGACAGCAAGTGACTGTTAATGAGTGAGTCATTGAGATTCAACAGATTCGTTCAAATGGCTGATTCATTCAGGAACAAAGTGTTTGACTGTGTTAATGAGTGAATCACTGAATCATTTATTCAACAGATTCGTTCAAAAAGCTGATTCATTTAATGAGTAAACACCGTTCGTTGTTCAGAGACGCAAAACTGTGCTGTTATCTTTGGAACTATTTTCGTTGGCAAAATTGAGCAATAACAGGCAATATTGTGTCTAAAATGTAAGTCACTTATTGCTAACTTTATTGAACTTGTATTAAAATGATTATTAAATTTGTTATCATGCTGATATCTGCAAAAAAATAAAACGGTTCTCTTTGTGTGATTGTAACGATTAGTCCACTGAAGGCAAGCGTAGTGAAGAACCCATGTGCAGTTTATTTACATGAAACGGAACAGGCAGAGCAGGGAGACATGGCGGAGCAGGCAGAGCGAGGGGCCATGGAGGAGCCGGCAGCGAAGGGGGCCATGGCGGAGCAGGCAGAGCGGGGGGCCATGGCGGAGCAGGCAGAGCGGGG